CCGCTCTGGATCACTGAGCCTTTGTGTTCAGGTGAAAGGGGCCTTCACAGCTGCCTGGAGGCTGGAGGAATGCTGGTATCTCCTGCCTCCTTTGTGTTTTCTCCCTCAGCTCTTCTTTGCCCCACCTAGACCCCTCCAACATCTCTGCTTCTGATCTCTCAGTGGGTGTTTTGGGGTCTGGACAGTCGCCCCCAACAGCATCCCTCCTGCCTCTGGTTACCCAGATGTCTTCTAGAGCAGATGGTGTGACCCCAGCCCTGGGCTTTGTTTTGGAAGGAACCACTGGGTCCTGCTGCTGAGTGTGCAGACATTCCATTTGTTTTCTGCACACAAAAAGGAGCTATGCCCATGGTGCTGCTCTTTGTAGAGTGTCTCCACCCACTGCTGAGAGGCTAACACACTGAGAGCCTCACCACGGGGTAGCATCTGCCACCCCAATGGTTAAGAGTAGGCCACAGGCCCTCAGGTTGGGCCCAGCCTCTAAATGCCGGCACATGCTGAACCCGAACAGCCCAATTGTGTGGGACAGGATTGAACAGTGGAAATGATCTGTGCAGCTATGGGCTGCATTTTGGGGTCAGGGATTTGTCTACCAAAAGCCTCACACCCCACAGTGGGCCTGGGGAGGTGGGAAGGCAAAGGAAACTGGTATATATCAACAGCCTGTTATGCTGGGCACACTACATGCATTTACTCATTTGCGTTTACTTGACCTCTCTCATGCTCAGTTTTGTCTTCTCTGAAGTGCAAGCAATGGTGACGCCCACCTCACACGGGTATTGGGAGAACTCGCTGGGATGATGGATGTCATATTGTCAATAATCTTTACTCCAATACTGAATGAGCAGAAGGAGAAATTAAGAAAACAATCTCATTTAGAATTGCATCAAAAAGCATAAAATACTTAGGAATAAATTTAATCAAAGAGGTGAAAGATCTGTTATCTATAAGAAAACTAAGACAATGAAGAAAGAAACTGAAGATACAGATAAATGGAAAGATACACCTTGCTCATGGATTGGAAAGATTAATGTTGTTAAAATGTCCTTACTACCTAAAGCAATATACAGATTACTATGCAATCCCTATTAAAATATCAATGGCACTCTTCTCAGAATTAGAACAACTAATCCTAAAATTTATATGGAACCACAAAAAGAACTCAAATAGCCAAATAAATTTTGAGAAAGAATAAAGTGGGAGGTATCATGGTCCCTGATATCAAACTATACTGTAAAGCTACAATAGTCAAAACAGTATGACACTTTCATAAAAACAGACACATAGATCAATGGAATAGGAAAGAGAGCCCTGAAATATCCTCACTTATGTGGTCAATTAATCTGCAACAAAGGAGGGAAAGATATACAATGGGGTAAAGACAGCCTCTTCAATAAGTGATGTTGGGAAAACTGTACAGATACATGCAAAAAATGAAATTGGACCACTTTCTTACACCATATAAAAAAATTAACTAAAAATGGATAAATAACTTAAATGTGAGACTTGAGACCATAAAACTAGAAGAAAACATAAGCAGTAAACTCTTTGACATCACTTTTTTTTTTTTTTTTTAAATATATCTTTAGTGATTTCAGAGAGAAGAAGGGAGAGGGAGAGAGAGAGATAGAAACATTACTGATGAAAGATTTGTCATTGATCGGCTGCCTCCTGCACGCCCCCAACTGGGGATTGAGCTGGCAACCCGGGCATGTGCCCTGACCGGGAATTGAACCCCCGTCACCTGGATCCTAGGTCGATGCTCAACTGCTGAGCCACGCCCTGCCGGGCTGACATCACTGTTAGTAATATATTTTGGATGTATCTCCTTGGGCAAAGGAAACAAAAGAAAAAGTAAACAAATGGGACTACATCAAACTAAAAAGTTTTTGCACAGCAAAGGAAACCATCAACAAAACAAAACCATCAACAAGATGGTTCTCCCATAGATATAGAATGGGAGAACATATTCACAAATGACACATCTGATAAGGGGTTAATATCCAAAATATATAAGGAATGCACACAACTTAACATACAGATGGCCAATAGATATGTGAAAAGTTGCTCAACATTACTAATCACCAGGGAAATGCAAATTAAAACTACAATGAGGTATCACCTTACACCTGTCAGAGTGGCTACCATCAAGAAATCACCAAACCACAAGTGTTGACGAGGGTGTGGAGAAAGGGGAGCCCTAGTACACTGTTGGTGGGAATGCAGACTGGTGCAGCTACTGTGAAAAACAGTGTGGAGGTTCCTCAAAAAATTAAAAATAGAGCCACCATATGATCCAGCAATTCCACTTCTGGGTATTTATTTGAAGAAAACCCCCCCACTCATTCGAAAAGATATATGCACCCCCATATTCATTGCAGCATTACTAGTAATAGCCAGTATATGGAAGCAACCTAAGTGCTATTGATAGACATAGATAAAAATGTGCTACATATATACAATGGAATATTATACAGCAATAAAAAGAATGAAATCTTGCCATTTGTGACAACATGGACAGTCCTAGAAGATATTATGCTAAGTGAAATAAGTCCGACAGGGAAAGACAAATGTGATTTCACTTAGATGTGGAATCTAAAACAAAACAAAACAAAATGAGTAAATGAAACAAAATAGAAACAGACCCATAGATATAGAGAATAAGCTGATGTTTGCCAGAGGGGAAGGGGTGGGGGTGATGGAAAAAAATATTCAGAGGGTGAGATAGCTCCAGAAGGTGGGGATTATTTCCAAAGGTCAAAGGGGACTTATCACTCGCCATTGTGAGAAACAGGGTTGTCCCAGCATGATTTTCCAGAACCACCCTGGAAATGGATTGGGAAGACTAGAGGATCTGGAGCCCATGTGGCTGTCATTTACTGTGTGGCTTGGAACTACATTTCAGATCCACAGTGGCCAGTAAGGTATGGGTTCCAGAAAGGGCAGACAAGGTGGTGAAGAGATGCAACATCTCCCTCTTGTCCTGAAGCCCCCCTTCTTCTCTTGCAGGGGACAAGCTGGACGCAGACTACATTGAGAGGTGCCTGGGCCACCTGACGCCCATGCAGGAGAGCTGCCTGATTCAGCTTCGGCGCTGGCTGCAGGAGACACACAAAGGCAAGGTGGGTGCAGGCCTGGGCCTGCCAGAGCAGACGCATGTTCGGTTACAGCTGCCCAGCCTAGGCGCTGGGAGGAAGGGCCAGGGAAGTCAGTCTGCATCATTAGCAATGCTGGATACTTAGACTTTGCCTTCTTTTCATTACACATGGTCTCGTGTCTGTAATGCGTGCTGCGCATTGTCACTGACTTGGCGCTGTTGACACTGGTGGGGGCGGCTGTCCTGTTCACTGCAGGCTGTTGAGCAACATCCCTGACCTCCACCCACTAGATGCCACGAATACTTCACCCCAGGTTGTGGCAACCAATAATGGCTCCAGACATCACCAAATGTCTCCTGTGGGGCACAGTCACCTCCAATTGGCAACCACTGCTGTCACAAAACCATGTATGCTGTTCTTCTTAAAAGAGATTTAATAACTTGCAAGGGTTGATTTTTGACTGCATGTGGATTTTGTCTTTAGACTCTGAACCCCATCGCATGAAAGTCCGCCATGCATTTGGGTCCCAAGCATGGACCTGACCTTCAACTCTGTTGAATAAGAACTTCCTGCTAAGTCATGAGTTGCTGGCCCTTCCTCCCCACTTTGGGGGGCAGACAATGGAATTAGTGTTGGGCTGTGATGTAACCTGTCTGGCCCTGTTTCCTCATCTGTAAAATGGGGAGGACTTAGTATTCACCTCCTGGAGTAAATGAAAGGTAATCCACGCAATGTGCTTAGAGCCATGTCTGGTTTAAAACATGTAAGGGGTGCTTTTTAGTATTTTTTTTTTTTTTTTTTTTTTGTTTTTCAAAAGG